CAATCACAACTAAGTGAAAAGTCCTATTCTATACATGTCTTCAATGTGCTTCAGAAACAATACAAAAAGAATGTTCTTAAGTAAATTCAAATAATAAATAGGAACTGATAATAATTCTTTGCTCAGCTCTTGCCAGTAAATTGCTCTTGCAGAATTAAACTTTCAGACACTAAAAGAGTGGCTATTTTCATACACATACAAAAATTACTACAATGACTAAATACTTAATGTTCAGACTGTCACAGGAGTCTATTCTGCATTCATTAGTGTCTATGATCATGTACTGATTAATTATATTCATTTTGCCTTAAATTACAGGGTATTTTGCTGTCTATGTATCATGAAAACCTACTCTTCTATGGTGCTTCTTCAATTTATCCCATACTTTATTTTGGAGGCACTATTATTAAACAAACAAATGGCTCCACCAGTAACTCTGAAACTAGAACAAAATGTCCAGTAAGATCCTGTCTGTCATCTCCACTGTGACAAGCAACATCTGAACCTGAAGAGGTCAATCAGCAACAAAATATTGCACTTCATTCTGGGCAAAATGTGAAGAGGGAAGATTAATAATAAATTAGTTTTGTTATTTAAAATAAAAAAAGGAATTTTGCTCACAACTTCCCTTTCTAGTTTGGCTTTTAAAGATGAAGGTTGACAGATGTTGCCTTCAGAGTGGAGCTCTGGCTCACTGTGATGCATATTCTGCAGTCACGTTTGAGTCAGCACTTGAGAGGACCTGTTACCATATGGAAAATCAGGAACAATTACTCTAAATAATTACATCAGTTTATTGCTGCCTGTTGCCAAGAGAAACAAGCCTTGTTGGTAATATCCACTTGTGTTGCCAAGTAACTTAATCTTTTGGGAAACTAAATATGCTCCAGCACTAGCACTTCTCTAGCAATAAATACCCTTTCTAACTGATATCATCTTGACTCAAAGTGCATCTCGGTCTGAGGATTTCCTCAAGTAATCTCTGCTCAGTTCTGGGCTGATGGCCTTGGAGGTGTGAGTTATCACACCTGGTTTGAGCCTGCAGAGATGGGATCTGAGTACAAACCAGGCAGCCTGGGCTTCCCTCAGCCACTGGGGGGAAATCAGAACTTTTAAGGCAAGTGAGATGAACACTGAAGAGATGAGATCAACTGCCTGGTAGCAGCATCCATTTCTCCCTGGATCACAAGTCCCAGTGGGAGTGGTGTCAGCTTTCCTGAGCTCTGCAGTTCAGGAGATGAAGCCAGGTCAGGTCTCTCCCATCCAGGCTGCCAGCAGTGATGGAAGCTAGTCCCTGTCAGTGGATTCAACTTGTCCTTTGGCAGCAGAGCCTGGCAAGGGGTGAGCCTGATGAGGAGCCTGTTCTGTAAAACCTCTGGGCTGAGATTTTCAGACTACGACAGCTGCTCAGATTTGAACTCAGCAACATCTGCAAGTGTGAGGCCTCTCAGTCAGGTGCTTAGAGGCAGAAAGTGTTGGCCTGAGTCACCAAAGAAAGGCAAAGTGGCACTGGCATCTCCCTCCTGCTCCTGCCACAGGCTTTTTGGTCATTCCTCAGCCAGTTTTGCCAGGACTTTCAGTTCATTAGCACTTGTAAACGCCTAACCCTGATGTTTAACTGCTGTCATTCAAACTGTCGAGACAGCAACTCACTGTTTTTCATTGTGCTTGCCACTTGAATTTCATTCCAGCTTGAACAGACAGCACAGAAATCCCTCTTTTTTCCCCCTCTCAAATTTATTGGATTGTGCAGGTTTCCCCTCCACAGCTCCTCACACTGCACTTCTCAGTTTCTGTCTTTGGCTTTCTGAAACCACAAACAGAGCCCTAAAGGAACCACTTCTGCCTTATGTCCCACTTGATTGCTGCAAACAACTGCGACATGGTGACAAAGTGCTTTCCTGTCTCACCAAAATCACATTGTGCCAGTTTAATTCAGCCCTGCGTTTCTGGGAAGGGCTTGATAAATTCTTCCTAACACACTGCAGTTTTGCCCATAGCTGCTATCAATGAACTGGGATGGATGCCTGGCAGGCCCTTTATTTAAGGCTCACATTACACAAAGCATTTTGCAGCCTTCAGTGATTCCTCCTGAAGCCAACTGAACTTGTTGATTCCAAAACTACCTTGCAGTCCTTGCTGACAGCAACCCAACAGAAACTACAGAGCTTACTGTGTTCTTCTGACTCCTCTGTGTTCTCTGTCACTGCTTTGCTGTACTTAGCCACTCTTATGTTATCAACCTGTAATCAACAACCAGGACCCTTTAGTCTTGGAGCCATGGGGGGTTTTGGTATGACAAACACTTCTCATGCAGCTGTGAGAACAGAACCCTCTTTTGTTTTGTTCTCTGGGTTTTTTTTCTGGAAAATGATAACATGAACAGAATGATTTCACACTAGACATATAAACTTCTAACCTGCATAAGGAATACTGATGACAAGAAAATGGAACCCACTCTTACAAAAGCTTTGTGATTATTTCTTTTTTCCAACAGACCTGTTGTTTTCTCCATGATATCCTCTGTACATGAAACTCTAATTCATCAAGCCTCACTGTTCTGTTGAATCAAGGTATAAATACTCTCCAAGACCTAATTTGAACAGCTTTTTATGCCCTTCTCATTTCAAATCTTCTTTTGAGGACCCATTTCTGTAATGATATCTACAGTAGGAGAGCTATTCTGTATGTTCTGTTTACCTTCTATTATATTTTATTGACTTAATTTAGTTCTGTGAGGAAAGCTGTTCTATCAGAGCACATTTCCACACAATAATTTAATGTTTCCAGATGTATCTTCCCATGGGTTACCATTTTTCTCCACCACCATCACTTTTGTTAGGCCAAATCTTACAACTTACAACAAAAATAACTTGGCATAAGGAATATCTCTTAGCCAGGGTGTCTGGAGAAGTCACATTTTAAGTACAGAGCTACACCATTCCAAGTCTACAGCTGACAGTGTTTGAACTTAGAACATATACTCCTCATTAAGTGGATTACATCTTGTTCCTAGACCAATCATTAATAAATTGCTTTAGTTATTTGCAAACACATGGTTTTGTGTTAAAAAAATTAGTATATATTAGTGTGCAGGGTACAGTGTGTATTGAATCAATTCCTTGCAATACAAGTAAAGTGTCTAAGTGCATAGAGCAATCTGTGCAGTTCCTCTTCTACTTATGGACTTGTTCCTTTGTCTTCATACTTCTAATAGTGCATAAAAATTGGCATTGACAACACACAGTTATTTGCTTCCTAAGGTTCTATATTTCCTTTGTATTTCTGAAGGTCACAGGGACTCAGCCAAACCTGAAATAGTCATTTTAATTCCCAGTCTTTTCATTTCACTACAATGTAATTATCTTATAGATTTTTGTGTAGACTTATTTACTGTTTTTCTTTTCCTGTTGGATAAGTATACTATAACTAAACTAACTTCAATTAGGTAACTGTCACCAATATTTAAAACATAATGACATTTTCAAAATTACGTAAGTAATCCAAGCATAAAAATTATTCTTTATGACACCATTTCAGAAGAGTGGCACCAAATCCTTATCATACAATAGCCTCTGGCTCAGAAACATTAAACACAAACCACTATCCCATTTTTCTTCTACCTAAGTTCCATATTCCTTTAGTTATATACAGTATCCTTTCTATATTTGGACTAAAGCATCTTTAGAAGATATAAAATGGAATATTCAGCATATTACTTGCAACTCAGTACATTAAATTATCTTCTTAGCTACCCATATGTAGTCCTATAGAATCATAGAATCACAGAATCAATCTGGTTGGAAGAGAACTCAAAGATCATTGAGTCCAACCCTACCACAGTTACTAGACCATGGCACTGGTTTTAGATAGCAGAATTTTTCATAGAATCATCATAGAGTCCTAGAATTTAGGGGTTGGAATGGACCTTACAGATCATCTAGTCCCAACCCCCTGCCCTGGGCAGGGACACCTCCTCACTAGATCAGGTTGCTCAAGGCTCATCCAGCCTGGCCTTGAACACTGCCAGGGTTGGGGCAGCCACCACATCCCTGAGCAACCTGTGCCAGTGTCTCACCACCCTTAGAGTAAAAAACTTTTTTCTCACATCCAACCTAGACTTTCCCTCCTTCAGTTTGAACCCATTACCCCTTGTCCTATCACTGCAGTTCCTAACAAAATTTTCTCTGTGTATTCACAGATGTAGCAATGTGTCTGCCTTACATTTCCCCTCAGCCTTGCTAGTGCTATCTTAAAGATGATACACCCTCAGAGATCACCATCCCAAGAGGCTCAAGGCACCTTGATATAAAGACCTGTTTGAATTTAAGCCCACATTTAAATCCAGTAAAATCTGTGTGCTTCGCAGTATCAGGAGAGCCTTAAAGCACATGCCTAAATATTATGCCAAACTGGATCTAGAAACAAGGTGTATCCTCTGAAGGAGCAGAATAGTTGCAATACCCCAGTACAGATTAATGATGCTCTGTGAGATTAAGCTTTGAATACAGCAGGAAGAGAAAAGTCACCATTAATAAAGGGGAAAATAATGAATCAGCAAATGCTGGAGACTGTAATAAGTAGGATAACACTTTAGCTCCTGCACATGGGATCCGTGCAGCATTTGGCTTTAATAAAATATAGGGGAACTGGCTGCAGTCAAGAGAATGATAAGCTGCCTTTAATATTATTTGCTTTTTACTGATGAGAAATGATGTCAGTGTCCTGGGAGAGGTCCATGATATAACATTGCTAGTGTGAGACTGTTGTTATGATACAATTTGAATGAGAAAAACTTACTTGAAGGCATTAGCATCTCCATATTTGGCTTTAATAAAATATAGGGGAACTGGCTGCAGTCAAGAGAATGATAAGCTGCCTTTAATATTATTTGCTTTTTACTGATGAGAAATGATGTCAGTGTCCTGGGAGAGGTCCATGATATAACATTGCTAGTGTGAGACTGTTGTTATGATACAATTTGAATGAGAAAAACTTACTTGAAGGCATTAGCATCTCCATGGACCTTATAGTTGTCTGCACTGATTCTGGAGATAACTCTTGTGACAGCAATGAGGATACCAATATTGACCTGGAGGAGAAGAAGAACAAGACTTGGTTAGGAAAGTAAGTTCTGGCTGTGTCCTAGGAGGGTATTGTACAAATACAACAGAAAACAGAAACTTTGCATGTTGTGTTTATTTGGCAAAAGAGGTTTTTAGTGTTGGACTGGTATAGTTTGTCCCTTGTCAATGATTCCCATTCCCCAGCACTGGGTTGTTCTTGCTTGTGTTCTCTTTCCTTCAGGAGAATTCCTTGATTGTTCAGGAAAAGTCTGGACTGATACATTGCTTGACAGCCAAAGAAGTGCTCAGGATCCCTACTGTCCAAATAAATACTCTAATAGTCTACTGCTAGATGACAAATTAGACAAGAACTTCATCAACTGAGATGTGTCTGCATCCTCATTGGTTCTGTGCTTGCATGTGCACAGACTTCAGAGAGCACCTTTCCTGCCAGACTAGTCCTGTTCCTTACCAAAATCTGCTTGCAATTTAAGCACAAGACTATTTTAAAACAGCAATGAGAAAAATATGTTAAGCCTGAACTCTGCTCTTCAAAAGCTCCATGCTTTTTGATGTCAGATCCAGCAGAAACATCAATAAAATGAAAAGAATTCCCAACAGAAAACTAAGAAATCTTGAAAAGATGAACACTGAAAACGTCCAACAAAAGAAAGTTTGTGCTGGAGTCACAGGTGAAGGAAGAAGGAAATCTTTATCACTTAAAGGAAATGTGGCAAAGACTGTCTTGCTGTGCAAAGACCTTGGGTTTAAAGGAAAAAAAAGAGTCGAGAATGTGAAGGTAAAAGATGTATTTCCCCCTTCCTGTCCAAAGTTACACATCAGCTACAAAGCATCATGTTAAGAAAAAGGATAGGATAAAACAAGCCTGAATTACAGAACAAAAAGAAAAAAAGACTTCAAAACAGTGCAATTCCTCAGTGAAAACTCAACAATCATACTCTATTACGACATAAATATTCTAATTTTGAGGATGAGAGGGTGAATTTAAAAAGGTTTGAGTTTGATGATAATGATTTCCTTGGTATTTTTCAAATCTTCTGACAACTCCTTTAATTTTAGATTTCTAAGGGCAGATCATCACCTGCTGTAAAGTCAGAGCATAGCTGTGATAGCTCATTTCTTCTGCCATGGCTTGTGAGTCCATCTGAAGAATATCCTGTGAACTGACAGCTCTTCAGTAACAAGTGTACCTGTTGTTCCATCAGCTTTGCAGAGATGAATAAGAGGTGAAATTCTACAGTCTTGGGATCATTTTCCCTATTCCCACCATATCATACTCTGTAAAGAACTTTTATAAATCCTTTGAGGTGATAAGGAGCATTTTAGAGAAATTTTTGTATCTTGCAAATTCTCACTCAAACTGAACCTGATCCTTTAGATCTGATCATGAAAGCAGCACGAGCCAAACTAGACAGATTAGAGGGTTTGTAATGCACAAACTGTTCAGCATTTCTAGCTGAATCTTTATTTATATAAAAGAAACTGAATTTAAAATTAATTTCCTAGGTATTTTGGATGGTATAAAGTGGAAATTTAAAAGGACCTGGAGTTTCTCCTCTGGTGTGGCTATATCCTTTCCAGGGTGCACTGGTAATAAATTCAGAAGATAAGAAGGAAACCTTGAGATCTCACTGCTGGTGAAATACAAGATACTTGTAAAATTAGCACTGAACCATTATACTCAAGTCCTGAAGTTCTATATTTAAATTTTCCCAAACCACTTTAAAAGTTTTGCTTAGGTATTTTAAGAAATTTGAGTAATCTCATCCAGCCTAAATAAACAGATTAGCTACAAATGTCTTCCTTTGTTAATGTTTCATTAAGTAAAGCATGGAGGTATTTCTACTGCCCTTGCAATGGGAAACCAAAATACAGCCACTGAATTGTTCTTTCAGTGATTTTTTTTTGGCATCTGACATAAATACTTTGCCAATGACTTGAATAGGAGAATGCTTAGTTGATGAAACACTCATTGTGTTTTAACCTGTATCAGAATGTTCAAAGTATGAGAATAAATATTTAGATAAGGGCACTCTATATAGTTCCTATCTCTTACTTTCCTGAAAGGCCAGATGTGCAGTTATTTTGCATTAAAATTGTACAGGAACTGAGAATGGTTTTGTTTGCAAGTACTACCCACACTCTACGTAAATATATAGAGAGCTAATAACATTAGTGCTTGTTTCCTAATTCACAGGACTTTTTTCAAGGCATCTTGTCCAGCTCCAGGCACTCACAACTCTCTACAAATAAGGCTTGATCCAAAGCCCACTGGAGCCCATGGAAAGATCCCAATGACATCAGGGAGCTCTGGCTCACTCTAGTGGCAGCTTCGTCTGACTGAAAATTGTCAGATCAGGAGAGTTAAATGAGCAAAAACATCCTCTTTCAAAATCTTTTCTCATCAGAGAGTTTAAATGAGCAAAATCATCCTCTTTCAAAATCTTTTCTCATCAAAATTCTGTCAGACCAGATAGAGTGAGACAAATTCTTTCCCTCACTCAGGTTGCTTTGCAGGGGTTTCAGCTAGATTTCTTCCAAGTCACATGAGATTTTTGTTTCTTCTTAAATACAGTGCAGAAATCTCATGTGTAAAACCCTCTGATGTGGTGTGCTCCATCCTAGCCAAGAAAAGGCTTGGCAGCACAGAGGAACTAAAAACAAAAAAAAGGATAAAACATATTGCCTTAATTAAATCCATTGACCAGCTTTCCTCTAAAACCACAAACTATTTTAGGCTCCACTTCAGTTTCAGGCAATGGTACAGGGAGTTATAAGTGACTCTTCCAATCTGAGGTTTAACTTGAACTCACTTTCTGATGCTGTGAGTGAATTTGATCCTTACCATGACATCAGTGGTCACACACCATGACTCTAAGGTCTTACAGTGCTAGGGCACATCAAGAATCCTTCCTGGGCAATTTGCACTTCCAACCACAACTAGTCAATGGAATTAGATGGATGTTAAAATTTGGGAAAGGCTGATTCTACTTTTAGCTATCCTGGAGCAACTGCAGATTGGAATAGATTAAATTGATTTATTTTGTACATGAATTTGTATTAATGGATATAGTATCAGACCAGGCAGAGCTGAATATCAGAGTCAAGCTTAGAGGTTGGAAAGGAAATGCAGAAGAAAACAAATAATAAATATAAGGTGCCTTCCCAATAGTAATGCTTCAAATTGAATCTGTGCCCTTGTTGGAAAAAGTCTTGCATGCTTTCCCATTGGTTAAGTCAGAAGAACTTCAATTTTAAAATAATGAATGAATTTTAAAACAAACTTAAAAGAGTAAAAGTGTTCATAGCTGAGTGCTAAAAAGGCAAAAATGAGAAGGTTAACAGCTGTGGTCCTAATCCACCACAGCACTTAAGTAGGTACTTGATTTCAATGACTCTGAGGAATTCTATTGTCTCAGGGCTTTTAAACGCTATGGGTTCAACTCTGTCACCTTTTCCCATGATGAGTGATGCCTAACAAGGGGCACAAATTGTCCCTTTTCAATCAGTGGGCCTACCTGCAGAGCAACACACTGTTCAACAGAAGGAAATTACCCTAATTCTGCCCTGGTACAGAAAGGTATGAATAAATACCATAAGGAACTTAGTAAATTGTGTATGAGCAGCAGGCATAGGGGAGATAATATTTTATATATTGAATATTCATAGGCAAGTACCAGCTGAAGACAATGATGGCAATCTCAGCCTGGGACCCAAGTTCCACAGAGTCCCATCTGAAGACACTGGCTATAAAACTCATGTCCCCACAGAACTGAACTGTTAACAATATGCTAATGAAAATCATTTAGCTCCATAAAAATGCTGTTTATCTGAAAGACTTGTAAAAAAAAAACACCAGGAAAATGACTACTTACAGGGAAAACAATAGAAAGAACTTGCCAGTGCAGCCCAGTATCTCCCCCCACAATGAATTGCTGCTGTCTGCAGCACACCCACTGCTCTATGTACACAGATGCTTTCCACAGAATTTCCTTAATTCCACCATATCTATGGAAACACACCAAGGCAGCAGATGGCTGATAACAAACAAAGCCTTCTGCCAGAAGTTTTAATGCCTTGTATCAAAAATTCAGGTGCTTTGTCAAGTGGGTTTTTTTCCCCACTGAAGACATGAAGCAGGCCAACTTTGGCTGAGCTTAGTTTGGTTTTTTTCCCTGCTGAAGACATGTCCCAGGCCAACTTTGGCTGAGCTTAGTTTGGTTTGCAAAGTAATTGCATGAATTTTTTTGTGAAGCTGTCTTAAGAGGATGATATAGAGGTTCATGTGTCATGGTTTGGGGGGTGGGGGAGAATGATCTTTAAGTCTTAACATGTAGGTAGAAGCCAAAAGATCTACATATAGGAGGAACTATTTCCTTCATCACATCCCTTGTGTCAAACCTCAAGGAAAGAGTACGTTAGCTATGGGAATGCATATAGGGCTGGGAGGTTCTGTGAATTACTCAAACCTCAAGGAAAGAGTATGTTAGCTATGGGAATGTATATAGGGCTGGGAGGTTCTGTGAATTACTACCTAGAAAAGTATGTGTGAGTGTTTCTTCCCAGTCACACTCCCTCCACATCATTCTGTTTTAAGGCTCCATGATGTCTGAATTGCCTGTGAGGCTGTGGCAGGACAAAAGTGGACTGTGTCTGCCTAGTCTCCAGGGAGTGGGAGTTGAAAAGAGCAGTCCCCCTGTTTTCCTCACAGCATAATCCTTTTCCTTGGCAGTGAGAAACTGCCGATGGAACTAGTCAGAAACTGCTTTTTGAGAAGTATTTTTGGAGCTAAATGCTAGTTCAAGCAACTAGTGGCTAATTTGTTATTTAAAGAGCACAGTCACACATGCACACACACAAAATAATGTTTAGCCTTGTTATTTCCCTATAGGCACTAACAGATTTTTCAGCTGGAATATTCAATGCCCAGAGAGGGTAATTTGTCAGCTAGCTTGCTGCTATTTTAGGCAGAGCTGGGTTTAGACTATTTAACAAATTGCTCTACGTGGATCAACCTTGTGAGCTCATTCTTTCTCTTTCTGAAAATATTTGTATCCCTACAAGAATATAATTTAAGCTGCATAAATGTTGTATATCATAAGTTAGAACCAGACAGTTAAACTCTTACTTTCACTGGCAAGCAGCTATGCATGCAAATTGTTGAAGGCTGTGCTTGCTCAGGTGAGTGTTTCACTACCTGGTGTGTTTTGGTTAACACCACCTATGCACAGCAGCTTGGAAAGATTTGGCATCATTGGCTGCATCTCATTTCCTCCTTTGGTGCTGAACAATGGCCAGAAAGCAAGTGCAGATGTGAGAAGGAGACATATCATAGAATCAACCAGATTGGAAAAGACCTCCAAGATCATCAAGTCCAACCCTACTATAGTTACTAGACCACTGCAACTAAGTGCCACATCCAGTCTCATCCTAAAAACCTCCAGGGATGGTGAATCCACCACCTCCCTGGGCAGCACATTCCAATGTCTGATCACTCTCTTTGTAAAAAAAATTTCTTCCTAATATCCAACCTAACCCTCCCCTGGCAGAGCTTGAGTCTGTGCCCTCTTGTTGCCTGGGAGAAGAGACCAACCCCCACCTGACTCCAACCTCCTGTCAGGGAGTTGTAGAGGGTGATAAGGTCTCCCCTGAGCCTCCTCTTCTCCAGGCTGAACACCCCCAGCTCCCTCAGCCTCTCCTCATGGCACTTGTGCTCCAGTCCCTTTACCAGCCTCGTTGCTCTGGACCTGCTCCAACACTCCCTCCTGAACTGAGGTGCAATTAGATTATTTTAATTGCTCTCCAATCATCAATATCTACATATCTTTGAATATAAACTCACATACAGAAAGTTCATGGTACAGGTCAACAAGAAATTGTGTTTGTTGCAACAAAAGCCAGAGGTGTTTAGCCAGCTCTAGCCCAGTGATCAGCATTTCTTATTTACAGTCTAGGCTTTCACTTCAGTAAAAAATTCCACCCTTACTGCAAAGAGACTTTCAAGTGTTGCCATTAAAGATTTTATTAAAATGCTAACATGAGACAATTTCTGTCGCATCAGTATGGCAACTATGTTCACTGGTTTTTTATTACATGTTTATATAGCCTAGTTTTTCAGAGGCTGCAACTTGGGCTGGGCTGCCTATAAGAGGTGCTGATTTCACTGTCTCCCAGGCAAATATTGGGATGTCCACTCATCCACAGTGTAAAATCACCTGTAATGGAAAAGGTCAGCCAAGGAACTACCTTCTGGATTTTGGGTTTTTCTGTGTGATGAAATCTGGGGAAGTTTCTCTGTGCTTTCCACAGAAATCCTAGCTTTCTTAGAGGAGTACAAGGTACAGTTAGAGTCTCCTTTTGATGCTCTTGTGTACAAGTAGTCAGGATTTTATTTTACCTCACTCTCCTAAAACACCACAGCAGGTAGACTCTAGTCTAGATTTGAGCTCATGCCTTTAAAATCTAAGCAAAGCTTTAAAGACAACCTAATTTCACTAATCAGTCAGTCTATTCCACCTTCAGAACTTCACTCTGCCATTATATCCTGCAGCAAAAATTGTGGATAACCTGATCAATAAAAGTACTAGAAAAAGTGCTGAAGAGGAATAATCCCTCACTTAGTCCCTGCAAACACCCCTGGCTCCTTAAGTAATGTGGTTAAGCTACAACTCACTGTAATTTAATGATGTGTGAGCATAATTAAACTGCTGTAGAGCATTTGTGTGTCAGCATCAGAGCTGTGAACCTGCATCCTCTCCTGGAAATATGCTGTTCATTAGAGCTGGCAGAGGTGTTTGTGGCAGCCACCTGAACCCAACAAACTCTCCTTAACAGCCCTTGATCCGCCAGACAATCTGCTCTCCCTGACATCAAATTAAAAACCAGTGGAACAGAACAAATTCCTTTGCACTTTTGGGGGATCTTTCTGAGAATTGTTCAAACTCCCAAGAGTACTTGGTTCCACACAGTTAATAATGACCCCAGTAGAGCTGTCCCAGTATTTTAGGTCCTATCTTTGTCTTGGAATAGTGAAATTAACAGTGTGATAATTAATATGCACAAACTAATACACAGGTGTGTACAATACAAAAAAATCAGAGAAGGAACCAAGTAACTCTGGAGTGTTCATGCCTGTTTTTTCACTGGGCTGGCACAAGGATTGACCCCAGGCCTTTAGCCACTTCTGCTGTGTGGCTGACACAGACATATGATGAGAAAACAGCAGCAGTTGTGGTTTTACCTACCAGAATGACAAACATTGCTGGTGCCACAAAAGCCCAGATTGCTCCATTCTCCAGTGAGAGCCAACAGCTGCAGGGAAAAATCAGAATGGGTTCAGATGAAACACACAGTCATTTAATTAGTAATGTTCCACATTTTAAAAAGCAACTGAGAGAGAGAGCACAAAAAGACTGATGAATTTTACAAACAAGAGACATGATAGCACATCAGGAAGAAGCTCCTTTTGCCCTCACACTGGGGGAATTCAAGGCAGGTTCTCATTTGGGTTTGTGTCTTGCAGAGAGGCAGTGACAGCTTTCTGCCCCAACCCACCTTCAAACAGTATCAGGGGTGGGAAGATGGGAAGAAAGGAAATGTTTTATTTGCTGTTTGCTGTTATTGCATCCTCTGTCACAGGCAGTCACTTCAGTGCTGGAGCACTGTCATTGCAGCCAGAGACAAATTGAAGCCCTCCCTGCCTTCCCTGGCTGGTGATGGGGAAGGGACTGGCAAACACACACAGCTTCACAGACCCTTCTAACAGGCCTGACAAGATAAGCTAGTTCACCACAGATACAAAAAAATAATCTTTGCTCCAAAAATTATTATGGTAGGATTAAATCCTATGGTGTCCTTTCAGATAAATTTGCTCTTCTTTTTCTAAATTAGAAAGGAACAAAGTTTTCAAAATTTTTAGCATTATGCATTTTAGATCTTCAGATGTCTAACACTGCAGTTCCCTTCAAAAGAATGAATAAAGATCTTTAATCAAAAATTACTCTCATTTTGGTAGAAGTGCATCAGCCTGTGCTTTCCCCTGGGCAGGGGTGAGCAGGGAGCTCACTGAGGAGGCCTCATGCCTCTGCAGCAAAACAAAAAAAAAACAGGCAAAATGTCCCAGGAGCTTTTTGTGCATCATCTCAGCAGTGAAAAACAAACCTGAGGCTTCTGTGTCTAAGAACATGCCTACACTACAGTCATGCTTTTGCAGGCTCTCTCCCCTGATCCTCAGGAGGATCTTGCAGCACCACAGCTCTGTTAACACATCTTCAAGCTTCCTCCACATCACATTTTTCATCCTTATTGCACCTGGAGTGAGGATATTTTCATACTCACTTGCCACTTTCTCCGTAGCTGTCCAGGGACGATGCTGCAGAAATGACACAAATCACCAGTGGGCAACCTGCAAGAAGGCAAAGGCAGTGGCAATGTTAGGAACAAAAGTACATCTTCCAGTAAACCCAGCAAGTTCTGCTAAATTTTGTATGAGCAGAACAGCTCAGAGTCATTTTCAAATGAAGTCTGGCTTGACATCCTCCTCCTGCAGCAGCACAATCCAACATGCTTTAATCAACTGATGTCAGACAAACAAAATCACTTTTCAATAAAGGATGAGTTTAACAGTTAAACTGAATTAATGCTAATTTCTTAGAGAATTATAGTCCTCTTTCAGCCTGGTTTTTGTTTATGTAATTTCTGCCTTTTGCTATTTGAGCAGTGATCCCATGTGAGCAAGATCAGACTTACTTTAACCACTTTCCCCCAAGTAAGTGCATTGTTGATCAAGAATTGACAACAACTTTGAAAACAAAGCAGAGTTTCTCACTGGGGTGTGTTATGAGCAGGTGAGAGGACAGGAATGGTGACATTTAGTTATCCAAAGCATCACACTGAGCAGTGAGAGACAAACTCAGATCCTTCTCAGACACCCAACCAAGACTTCCTTTAACATAAATATGCAATAGCTACATGAGATCTCTGTGTTTAAAGTAGACTCAGTTTCCAGATGGGTTTTGACAGTTGCAGTGTGCTGTGCCCTGGGAGGTGGAGGAATGTTTTAAGGGATGACATGGGAATTACACAAAGGCAGACAGTTATGGTCCTGCTGTCAGGGAGCTGCATGGCTCTGGCCCCAGCACTGCCAAATCCTGTTGTGCCACTTTACAACAGCATTCCAGGCTAGGAGCTGCAAAGGAAACGAGGTTTTTCTTGCCAACACTTCTGAATATAGTAAAACCTCATCCCTTTATATATTAAGTGATTGTCTGTTAATTCCTGTATGATTTAATAAAATGAGAAGGTTTGAGCTTTTATCATCTTATGGAATTTAATAACCAGGTCCCAGACAGAGTATTAGACATGATAGCTTAAAGTTTCAATTTTCTTTTTAATTCTTCAGGCTTTCTGCATGAGGGTTTTACAAAATTCTCTGACAAGCAATTTCTGCTTAATTTTACTACTGCGATCATCACAAATTCTGTAAAAGTTCTCCTGTACTGGCAGAACTATAATTTACAGAAGAAGCATTTTCAGTCTCTAATGGTTGCAGCTAGAAGCACATTTATAAATATTTATATATTTATATCTATACCTATTCATAAATATGGAAAATGCTATGTAGTTAAGAAGTAGCATCTACAGGCATTGTTTAGAACTTAGACTCTGAAATCCATCCTGTAGGATGGATCCATCCACATCTTTGGTTGTGGAGCAGGTATCATATATTGGCACCATTTGTCTTCTGGTGCAAGTTGTCCTCCCACCACAGGGACTTTGTCACAAAAGCAAAAATACCTATGCCCAACTAATTTTTCCTTTTACTTCTAGTTTGTCTTTTTTTTTCCCCAGTCAAACACTGGATATTCAAAGGATTTAGCATGACTCTTTATCCATTTTAAAGGCAGCAAAGGAGAAAATTAAATAGAGTTCCTTTGGAAGATGATAAAACTTATGCAGATGAAACACAGAGCAGTCATTGGCTTTAAAAGAGCTATTCACAGAATCAGAGTTCTGTTAAGGCAGTGAGAATCAAAGGGTCTGCAGCCTATACTGCTCTGTTTGCCTTTCATTGCATTAACAAGGTATTAAATGCATAATTGCAATGGAGACAGAATCAAGGTTTTGTTACAGTAAAATAAGTGACTTTTTCTTTTAAGAAATAACCATTCAATAAACTACATAAAAGTTGGGGAAAAAATACATATTTACCCAAAGGGGTTCATGAGATTTC